ATCGTATCGTGACCCCTTTGTTATGATATGTATCGTATCGCCAAATTCTTGCCAATACACAGCCCTAATAGACAAACACCTTCAATCCAGTGGGGTGTGGTTTGCCTGTACATACTGGCACACCAGGTATTGACCAGTAAATGGAACCAATTGGTTATCAATGCATAATTTTTTTTTGTTTTAGACAGACTCAGACATCCTATCAACACCAATCATACATCAGTATCTGAGTTTTCATCAACAATTTGAAGTAAAAGTGTCTCTGCTCTGAATGTCTCCCTTTCTTGTCCTTTAAAAAACAGGATAAAATGAAGAAAATAACTTAATGTGTCCGCTACGGAGGACATTTTTTAAATGATTAAATACWATGCAAAATTAAAGTTAAAATAAGTCAGACACTGTTTTAATGTGTTGATTAGAGACTTTGTTCAGTAAAAAGTATGATGCACTTACCTTTCCTCTTCCCATAAAACGTTCTTTCACTGAGGGACAGCATTTTCCTGAATGAGGAAGAGAAAGRTGCCTAAGCCCCACCCCTACAAATCTGGTATCATTGAAAAGCACTAAATGTCCTCTGTAGATACCAAAAGGAGTTGATTCAGTGGCATGAAGTTGGTGAGAGATATTCAGGTTTACAAATGYCCTCTACGGAGGACCAATTTGAACTGTTTGTAGTCAGGAGGATATCACATCGACAGTTTTCTCCGCTTTAATTTAAGACATTTTATACAAATTGGATAAGAAATAAGGGCGCTACAAATATATTTTTGACAGATTGATGTGAATCCCTTATTGGAACTGTATTGTTTTGTTGACATGACTCAATGCATAGTAATGGCGCCTGTGGAGGTGCATCACTATAGCGGCTAACAGGCGATGAACAATCCAGTAACAGGCCAATACCAGGAACGGTCATATCCTCCCAAATGAGACGACTAATGATCCGATCACTACCATACTGGTCAATTTATGGTTGTCACCCATCAAATATTTTATTTTAATTGAAATTATTACAATTTTATGAGTTGGTTGATTATAAGATTTTGTTGATTATGTATAGGGCTCATAAAAATGTATTGCCTTTGAATATTTAATCTAATTTTGTTAAGAGGGAAAGTTGTTATAATTTGAAAAGATTTGAAATGTTTATAAAACCTAAAATTTGATTAAACTTGAAGGATAGATGTACCTCAAGGAATAAGATTGTGGAAWAACTTGGACAGCGATTATAAAAATGCTGACTCGATTAATGTATTTAGTAGAATGATAAAAGTTAAATTGTTGAAAAGATATGAAACTAAACAATATGTATTTATTTAAAAAAGGCAGATATAAATTTTTTCTTCTTCTGCTTCCTTTCATTTTGAGATTTGTTTCTCTAGTTGTATTGTAATTTTTGTTTTTAATCTAAATGAATAAACTATTAAACTTTAAAAGTTCAGGGGGAAGGAGCAGTTTACAGCAGGGGCCAATGACGATTTGAGTGATAAAACAAAAAATACAAAAACATGCTCAAATCAAAACACAGCCAAATGTAAAAGCATCACACTTAAAAGACTACAAACGCTGCAGCGGTCTGTAACGGCGTCTCTTCCCTCCACAGAGGCTGACCGACGTGTTCCGGCGGTACGACACGGACCAGGACGGCTGGATCCAGGTTTCATATGAACAGTATCTTTCCATGGTCTTTAACGTGGTATAACGCACATGAAGAACCCAGAAGAGCACAACTGGATAGAACCGTGCCAAAGCTCCCGGCACCCTCCGGATGTCTGCCGTGGTGGACACTACTTTTTATTTTTTAAAGCTACTTTCAGCCTGAGTTGGGCTATTTATTATAAAACTATGATCTTAAGGCGAGGAAAGTTCAAAGCTTGATGTTTGTTATTAAAAAATAAAAAAATCTCGTGTTTTGTTTGTTGGCAAATCTGAACAATGTCAGTGGGGGGGTCTTGGGGTAAACGTACAGAGATGTCTGTTTGTGTTGACAATGTTTTAATAGATTTAATTTGAAAAAAAGTAYATGTACCTGTTGAAAAAAAACTGATGCATTGTAAATATGATTTAAAATGCATTGCATGCCTTTCAGGGAAGTCTCCCCCATCGAAGCATGCGTCCCCCCTCTTTAACCTCTTGACTTCCCTGTCCTCTTTGCTCAAAGCCATGTTTACAAAACTGTGAAAGCAGCTCAGCTTTAGGATTCACTTACATGCCAGCTTACACGCCATCTTTGTACAGATTTTTAACAGCAGATCAAGGAGGTAGACGACGAGCTTAATGCCTTTAGTGTGTTTTTTTTCTGTGCATGATGCCTTAAAAGATGTAAAAGTGGACAAAGAAATGAATCTTTTATTAAATAAATGACATCTGATGTTTGGTTTGTGCTTATTTTAGTGGGTAAATATAATTTCTTAATTCTAATCCAGTAAAATTTGCCTAGTTTTAGCTGCTATTGTTTGGTAAAACTRCTTAGCTGTGACAGCCATCTTCAATGGCTTTAACTCTGAGTTGTAGATGTACTAACAAGAAAAATGGGCAAAAACAAATCT